TTTCATTTAAATATTGCTTCTCTTGTTAAAAATATCGACGAATTAAACTCACTTTTATCTCTTATTAACTATGAATTCAGTATTATTGGCATAATTGAAACTAAACTAATTACATCCTACTAACTATCCCATTAAATCTTACCCGTTATGTTTATGAGCACACTTCCACAAAATCTTATTTTGGGAGTGCCTTACTCTATATATCTATAGTCATAATATACATAATCTGGCTAGTTTAAGAGCGCTATTATTTATCTAATTGTTAACTTTTTTTAGATCCCAGTCCACCAATGAGTGCACACTTTTTGTAAACAAATGCGCATTAAGAAGAATATTTACAAGAAGATTATTGATTAATTCTTGATTTTTTCAAATGCCTCGTCTTAATTGTTATATATTTGGTTCTGGAACTTCTCGAAGAAGTATAAATCTTTTTCTGTTTGAAATATTTTCTTCTGATGATGATGTTTATTATAAAGAATCAAGAAGAAAAGTTTTACAAATTATAAATAAAAATATATCTATAGTTATAATATATTATAACTAATGATTAAATATAATATCAGATAACTTTTTTGTTGGATCGACAGGTTTATTTAAGTTAAATATGGCGTTCCACAAGGTTCCGTTCTTGGACCATTATTGTTTTTATTATATATAAATCATTTATCTTGTTCATTAAAAAATTCTATGGTACATCATTATGCTGATGATACCAATCTTTTATATATCAACAAATCATTTACGACTCTTTGCAAAAAAGTTAATCAAGATCTTCATCACTTATGTAACTGGTTAAATAGTAATCGTATTTCCTTGAATGTCATTAAAACTGAATACATTATTTTTCATTCCCCTCGATAAACTATTGGTACTATTAAAATTAAAATTAACAGAAAAAAACTTTTCCCGTCAAAATATATAAAGTATATTGAAATACATTTTAATTAAAACCTATCTTGGTATAATCAACTGTATCATCTTAAAAAAAACTTACACTAGCTAACAGTATGCTTTCTCTAATTAGTTACTGTGTTCCTATCCAAACTCTTTGAATTATTTATTTTTCTTTATTCTCTTTTCACCTTCGCTATCATTGTATTGTTTGGGGTTAAAAAGAAAACTTTTTACTTAATAGCATTGCTAGTTTACAATGCACATCTATTAAAATAATGAAGTTTTTGCCAATGGATCTGATATCCAAAGAAAATTTTCTGAACTAAAAATCCTAAAACTCCATGATCTTGTAAAGTTTTACAATTGTCTTTTTGTGTTTGACTTTTTCCAAAATAAACTACCAAACTCTTTCTTAAACTTTTTTATTAAAATAAATGAAATTCATAATCATCACACCAGGAATACAGAAAATAGTTAGCTATACTCTTTATTTTCAGCACAATTAAATATGGCAAGTTTTCCATAAAACAACAATGTATTTCCAATTGGAACCAGTGTAATCCTGCATAAATAAAAATTTTAAAAAAAATATCCCCTTGTTACAGATAATTTACTGCTCAACAGAATTCAATTTAAAAATATATTGTTAGAGTGTATTTCTTTATAGTTTATATCTTACTGTAGTTGTCTTTATTATATAATTTCTTTAACGAGCGAGTGGTTTAATTTTTGCTTTATTTGTTATTTATCTATATTATATTTATCTATTATCGTGTTATTATTGCTACTTTAAATGTTATTATTATATTTAATTATTATCTATGATATGTACGTACAATTTATATTTTATTATAAACATTCAAAATATTATTGATACTTTATTATTATTGTTATTTTTTTGTATTGTTACTATAATTTTTATATATATAATTATTATTTGTTTAACTAACTTTTCTTTTTTTTCTCTCTTATTTATATATATATACTTTTTTGTTGTTGTTGTTGCTATTCGTTTCTTTTTTTTTTTAATTTTTTTTAATTTTTTAGGTGTCACTCCATATATATATATATATATATATATATATATATATATATATATATATATATATATATATATATATATATATTATATATATATATATATATATATATATATATATATATATATATATATATATATATATATATATATATATATATATATATATATATATATATATATATATATATATATATGTATATGTATATGTATATGTATATGTATATATATTTAAGTTAATTAAGGTGCCCCAAGAAATCCTTATGGTCTTATCACAGAGCACCGTGGAAGAGTATTTAATAGGAAGTTCATGCCTCCTTCCCAACCGATGTTGCAAAACTTGCCCAAAAGTGGGGTTTGAACCACGAATCTTACGCTTTTGAGGCAAGTGCGCTACCACTGCGCCACGGCTGCTTTATATATATATATACATACATATATATTGTTTTTTTTATGGAAAGATAAGTGTAGACATTCCGCTTTAATTTTAATCAAATTAAATTACATGATATTTTAAAAATATTCATGACATTTTTAAAATATAATTTAAAAGAAATAATATAGTTATTTAATATTAACTTTTAATAAAAAAATTATTTATCCACTTTTTTTATTTGTTATTACATTTATTTGTTTTATTATTTTTACATTGTTATTACATGTTTTTGTTGTTACATATTATTTTATAATACTAAATTTTTTCTAGATATTAATGAATGTGCTTTATCAACTACAAATATCTGTTCAATTAATGCTATATGTAACAATTTTGCTGGTGGATACAACTGTGTATGTAAAAATGGCTATAAAACAATTGGTGGTGGAGTTGAATCACTCACTAATCAATGTCAAGGTATGACTATTACCATATGATAGTTTCAACTAAACTTTTTTTCCAGTTTTTAAATAGTTTGATTTTTTACTTTTTGTTTTTAATTAAATTGCTTGTCATATATGGACAAGTCTATAATCCATTTCAGTGTTGTTAAAAATTAAGCAACTTTTAAAATTTTATTAGGTTTAAATTTATTAAATTTTATTATTTTAATAACGCTTAGCTTATGTTTAACTTTCAGTTTTATCTGTGTTGAGACATTTTTTTTATAAAACTAAAGTAAATAATATTGCAATATTGTTAAAATATAAAAACTCATTTAAAAAATATTTATTAATACAGTCATTTATTAATACATCAAATTTTAAAACAACAAAATTATTATTAATCATTAACACATACATTTATTAATATAATATATATATATATATATATATATATATATATATAATATATATATATATATATATATATATATATATATATATATATATATATATATATATATATATATATATATAAAAGGAATATAAATTCAACTTGAAATATCTTAGCATAAGTACTTTTGTGTCATATAAAATAGTCATGCAATGCATTTAGATAATTTTTATTTTATGATGTTTAGTTGTTTATAGATATTAACGAATGTCCCTTGTTAACAACAAACAACTGCTCAAATAATGCTATATGTAATAATTTGGTCGGTGGATACAAATGTACATGTAAAAGAAGCTATAAAACAAATAATGGTAGAGTAGAATTATTCACTAACCCAGCTAGCACACATGCGTTGTTAAAATATTAGAACAATGTTGCCCGTTTTATTGCTGACTATATATATATAGCCAGCGTAAATAAATATATATATATATATATATATATATATATATATATATATATATATATATATATATATATATATATATTATATATATATTTATATATGTAAGGTTGAAAATGTTTGATCATCTGAACAAAAATCATGTTTGTGTTGATTGTGGTTTGATATCTTAATAATCACGGAATATTTTATTTAAGTTATATAATTTCGCCATCACAATATTTGGTCGCATACATTTGATCAGTGTTGGGTTTAATTCGTAAAAACAATCAGCTTTTTGCAATATATTTACATACATTGGATCAACGTTGATTTATATACATTTAATCAAAGTCAAGATATATACATTGGGTCAACGTTGGGTTTAGATTGCAAAAACAATCAATTATTTTTAATGTTTTTACATACTTTAGAAAAACATTGGTTTATATACATTAAATCAACATCGTTTTTTCAAGTTTTTGCGATGTTTTCACATACATTGGACAAATGTAAATTTGCCAGATGTTTTTAGTTCCGTTGGTAATAAATTTATCATTAACCAAATAACATTGGATCAACGTTGATTTTGCATTGGAAAAAAGAGCGGGCGTTTGCGATGGTTTTACATACTTTGGCCCAATATAAGTGTGCTAGCTGGGAATCAATGTCAAGGTGAATAAAGTTTTACATTTCATAATGTTAATATCAATTATATTTTACATTTGCTTATTACATATATAAAAAAGTCAGAAGGATATTTAATAAACACCAATCAAAAATTAAATTTTAAACCTCAAATTTTAAAAAATGACCTCAAAAAGACAGGCAAATTGCAATCAATTGAGATTATACTGAGATATATTTTTTAGCTCATTAAAAAAAGTTTTAGTTTTATTTCGATTAATTTGATTAGGATTTATTGAATGAATCATTTTAATCAATAGTTCTCTAATCATCATGAATGAATCATTTTTTTATCATTACCAATAATTTCCTAATTGATTCATATGAAACATAGCTATGAAACATAAAGCATATAGCAATTTAGATATAACAAATTTTAAAACTTAAAAACAAAACTTAATAAATTTACATTTAAAATTATATTTTTAATTATGGTATTAATTTTTATATTGTATTTAATATTATAGCTACTTAAAAGGTTCTTTCAATTCTTATTGTATAAAAGTCACTTTTTTTATATTTTATTTGTGTAAATTAGGTAAATTAGCTATTAAATTATGTAAATTGAATAGTTATATATAAGTGGATTATAATTGGCCATGTTTATTGACACAGTTTTACTAACACATCTAGTTTATGTGGAAGAATGTACTTCTAGTATTAAAACTTGTAATATCATTGAAAATTAATCCTGCAATAAAAAATTTCTTTAAGGTAAAGAAGTCTCTGAAGTAGCTTTTTAGTGTATTGTGGAATCAAAAATACAGGTTTAAAAGAAAGTAAAAACAAATTTAATTAAATTCAATTTGAAAAGTGAGGCCAGTGAGAAAAATATTGAAAGATCTTATTATTGTTTAGAAGCTTAGAGGAAACTTTTCTTTAGGATCATATTTACCCTTGATGTTGACATCCAAAAAATAGTAGAAAAGAAGAGTAAAGTATAAAATGTTACCTGCACTGAAAAGCTATATATATATATATATATATATATATATATATATATATATATATATATATATATATATATATATATATATATATATATATATATATATATATATATATATATATATATTATTATATATTATTATATATTATATATATTATGTAGCTTATATATATTATATAAGCTACAGTATAAAAAGTATTTTTGTATAATTTGAAAGAATCTAATTTGAAAAAAATTAGTTTTCAAATTTCTCTCAAAAATTATGGAGTTGTGCTTTTTTACATATTATATACCAACTAAATTACGTAAATGTTTACTATTACAAAATTACAATAGCAAAAAATTTAATATTGTATGGCATTAAAAATGAAGGGCATTAAAAATACTTGACAAATAAGGTTTTATATATTTTTAAGTATGTTGAGTAGAGTGGTTTTAAAAAGTTTCTTTTTTTTTTTAGTGATTTTGATTGGAAAACAAAAATAGTATATTGCACAATTAGTAAAACACTTTATAAAGCTTATCTCTAGCAACATTTAAGAGTCCTAAACACTTTACAATAATAAACTAGAATAATTTTTATGTGACTATTTTTGAAAGTCATTGTTGTTTAATTATGTAGAACACATATAAAAATTAAAGATAATTATTTTGCTTCAACCTTAAAAACTCTAAAATAAAATTTTTAACCATATTTTTTAAAATAAATTATTTTAACTATTTGATGTTAACTTATTTATCTAGTTTTTAATAATTTGCTAAATATTATTTTATAACTAGCAAAAAAGGAGTCATAAAACTGGTCACAGGAAGCTAAGTACGCCAAATAAGTTAACTGGGTCTGTAAAACTTTTCTGCAATAAAACTCTCAACAAAATAAAAAATTTAATTAGGCTGTTTTATATATATAAGTTTTAGCAAGCAGAACTATCAAGTGGCAATCTATTAACTTTTATTAAAAAATTATGAAAAATTTTTATTTTCTTTAAGTTACTTGATGATATTAAGGTGCAATGTTCTCTGGGATTAAAGGTTCAAATTCTTGGCTTGTATAAGAGAATTTTTTTTTTTTTTTTTTTCAATCTTGCTGATTTTTTAAATACAAAAAAAAAAGTTAAAGCAGAAAATACTTTTATTTTCAGAAAATTTATATTATCTTTTATTATATATATACTATTCATATTATTAATTATAGGTATTATAAGTGATTGTTATATATACAACGGACATACTTAACTTGACCTACTGATGTTAACACATTCAGACGTTTGTATATAACACTATACAAATGGTTTTTTTACACTTGCCTTTTCTTAAATGACATAATATTGTTAAATACATATTTTTATATAAATTTCATTGAATTTCTATAAAAAGGTATTGAATGACTTTTTATTACCATTAATTCAGCTTTAATGGCTGCCAATAGTTTTATGTTAAACACACACACAAATGGACACTCTTAAGTTCAGCATTATTATAAGATAATAAATTTTGTATAGATGTTAATGAATGTGCTTTATCAACTTCAAACCTCTGTTCAGTTAATGCTATATGTAACAATTTTGCTGGTGGATATAACTGTGTATGCAAAAGTGGCTATAAAACAAATGATGGTGGAGTAGAATCACTCACTAATCAATGTCAAGGTAAATGATGTTATCACTTTTTTTTTAATTTTTTTAATATATTCTTTGTCTTTATTTAAATTTGTCTTTATATATCATTCGTTTTGTTTTTTTTTAAACATGCATAACTTCTTATGTTTTGACATTTACAAGTAAAGATCAAACATATTGGTGACTAGAGCATGAATATTAAGATGTGAACATGGAAATATTACTTGAGTAATAAGAATTTCGAAAATCTTGAGTTATTTGTCACAATATGTTTACAATTTTATTTTAAAATTTTTTAAACATATAAGTAAAAGACAAACTTTAGAAAAAGCAATTTTCTCTTTATGCTAGAAAAAATTTATTTATACTATCGTATTAATAAATACGTATTTTTTCTTTCCACCTAAATCCATACAGTTTTTTATTATTTGTTATATATTATTTTATAATACTAAATTTTTATAGATATTGATGAATGTGCTTTATCAACAACAAACATCTGCTCAATTAATGCTATATGTAACAATTTTGCTGGTGGATACAACTGTGTATGTAAAAGTGGCTATAAAACAGTTGATGGTGGAGTAGAATCACTAACTAATCCATGTCAAGGTAAATAATGTTATTTAATGTTCTTTTGTATAAAAGTTATATTTTCCATTGATTTATCTTTAAATATCTTTTTCTTTCATTTTTATTTTTTATATAAATAATTTCTTTTTTTATTGGTAGACATTTCAAAGAAAAAATCACATTTATTGTCTATATTCTTAAAGTTATAATATTACATGTCTATCTTCCATAAGTTATGATAACACTTTACTAATATGATTTTAAAAAAGTTAGATGTTTAAAAAATTTCTTTCAGATAAGGAAAAACAATGAAAATAAATATCTTTTAAAATAAATAAAAAAACTAAAGTTTTTTTATTTATCTTAAACTTGAAATTCAGTATGCAATAGTAATTTTTTTAAATTTTTTATAATTATATTAAATTTTACGTTATACTTCTGTATGTATGTTAAACAATATTTAAATTCAAATATAAGTTCAAATTCAAAATTAAGTAATTAACTTAGAAAGAATCTAATTTGAAAAAAAATTAGATTCTTTCAAATTAACAATTAGTTTTCAAATTTCTCTCAAAAATTATGTAGTTGTGTATTTTAACATATTATATACCAATTAAATTACGAACATGTTTACTATTGTGTTTTAAACAAATACTGATTATTTAGGTAAATTTTTTTAATTGATTTACAAAATAATAATTTTTGACAAGATTTTAAAATCTTTGTTTGTCATTTGTCGATATAAATATATTAATGTGATCTTGCTATGGAATTATTTGTAGTATTTCAACTACAAAACATAATTTATTGGGAAGACGCCCAGCTAGAAAGCCATAGCTTTTGAAAAATCAAATTGCTCAAAAGATCTTGCATGATGTAAATGATATAAATGTTTGGGAATATTTTAGTCAAGATGGTGTTGTTCTTCTTCATAGAGCTATTGAGACTATGGGATGGTCTTCTCCATATAATTGAGACTATGGATCAAAAATATACAAAGATATATGTAAGAAGATTTTTTACTTTGTGCAAAGGATTAAATGCCTTGATGATGGATATATCAGCAGGATAGCAATTCAAAACATTCTAAACAATATAATTTGTTCAAGAGTTTTTAAATAAAGTAAAGTTTGTGTTTTGTGGCCACCCCAATCACCTAGCTTTGTTCTCATTGAACATTTGTGAGAACATGTTGACTGTCAAATGAAAAACATCAAGCCTTCAAATCATGCTCATTTGTTTAGTTTAAATCAACTAAATGTGGAACTTAATTCCCATTAATAATGCCTTGTAGATTCCAAGCTGTTCTCTATTGTAAATGATATCCTATAAAATACTAATTTTGCTTTATATAAATTTTTAATCAAATGCTGTTGAGCAACATTTTTTTGAAAAATAAATGCTTTGTCTGCAATTTTTTGAACTTATTAAGTCTTTATTTTGAAACCAATTAAAAAGCATTAACAAAACGATCAATATTCAATAAAAACGTAATCGTAAGATTAACATTTAATTAGTATATAACATTATTTTTTAAATTTAAATTTTAGTTAAATTTAATTGTATTTAATCGCTTATTCAAGTTTACTTTAGTTTAATTTTTTTTGTAATGCATTTAAATTTTTTTTTTGTTCTTATTGTAAATGATATTTATGACGAAGGAATTTATTTCTTTCTTAAATGTTTTAAAACGTTTTAGTGTAAAAATTTTCTTTTTTTTAATTCTTGTTTATTAAATTATTAGTTTTGAGTTTTTAATTAATACTTTTTATAAATATTACTTTAGTAAATATTTTTTTTATAGTTTAATTATTTTTAATAAGATATCAATGAGTGCAAATTAAAGCCATGCTCTTGGGTTAATGGAGTTTGTGTAAATACAAATGGCAGTTATTTTTGCTCCTGTGAAAATGGTATGAAGTTGGGTAAAGATAATGCCAGCTGTGTTAGTAAGTTTTTGTTATAAACATTATTTGTATTAGCAAACTACATAAATAATTTTAACTAAGCTACAAACAATATTTTATTAAAAAATTAATTTTTTTCAGTAAAAGAAATTTTTTTTATATAAAAAATTGGTGGTAGAATTATCAGGTTTGTTTGCCACATGTTATTTATAACTTATTTAATTAAATTTCTTGTGGCAAATGTTTTGAATCAATTTTAATTTTACTAAATTGGATATTGTATTCATTTCTTTCATTAAAGTCATAAATATTGAAAAAAAAAATTAATAATAATTATATTAATAATCGTTAATATGTGATGTACTGATGATTAATTTTTTATGAAGTTATAAAAAAAAAAAAAAAAAATGAAATTATGAATAAATTCTAGTTTTCAAAATTGGTTTTTTTAAGTGAAAAAAACAAACAAAGTCATTCACTCAAAAGTTAAAGAAAACTTATTTCAGTGAAACTATTTACTAATTTCAATTCAAATTTTTTTTACAAAACTAGATGCTCAAGTAAGTAAAAATATAAAACTTGGTGACAAGTATATAAGTATAACCTTAGCAATTAAGAAATAAAGTTTTTTTTTTTTCTTTCTTACCTTGAAAAAAAATTCTTTTTCAAAGGAAAAAAAAAAAAGATGCTAAATAATTTTTTTAACAAAGAAAGATTTAATTTCTTGACAAGTGTAAATAAATCAGTTACATCCATAAGTCAGCTACATTTATTAGAAGAAGAAAATTGTGTCTTATTTGAAAGCAGCGCTTTAATCCTTTACAAATAATTTCTAAAGTTCAATAAGTTTTTAGCTTTTGTGTTAGTCTTATGCAAGGAACTTTGTCAAGGTAAATCAACCATTAGTTAAAGAAAAAATAATTAAAAGCATAAAAACCATAAAAAATAAAAATATAACTCATAAAAACCAGTCTTGCATTGAATCAATTATGTAATTATATTTTTTGATCCTCCCTATTATATGGAGCAGTTTTTAAACATTGTTTTTGTAAACATTTGTTGAATAATTTTCATATATATTTATTGCATGCGAATTTTACACCAGACACCATAGAAATAGCATTTAGGCAGATAAGGTAGTGAGGTCAGATAAGGTAGTAAGGTCGCTTTTTTTATAAGTACCCAACAGCTAATAGAAGATAGGAGTATCAGCAAATCAAACTAGTTTTTTAAGAAGCTGTTGATATATTAAATACTGCGTTTTGATTAATGCATTACCTTTAGATTTTAATATTATAGTAACTATGAAAATTTTAGATATATATTAGACCCCTTGTAGATCAACCATGATGAACAACCTGAATTTGAATCATTATTTTACATTCCAGGTTAGAAAAGGTCTAGAAAAGAAAAAGAAGATTGTCAATATTATTTCACATTATGATAACTATAATTTCGCATCTGCACCGTGGGCCAGAATTAATTTTTACTGGACAAAACCAATAACTTCTCATATAAAAAAGATATAAGGAACATTTTTTATTGTTTACTAATTTGAGGATTGTGGTTTCAATTGTTACATTAGCTTTGATTTTGGGTTGGTATGGACACTTAAATTGCTTAGCAACCGCATATTTTATTAACCAAAATAAAGATAAATTGGACTAAGGTAATAACTTTATCGAATTACTCCCATAATTATCACATAGAGTATTATCATATAACAAATGGTACTAAGGATTTTTTTTTGGTTGAATGTGATACCTGAAATGCGTGACAGTGAGCATTTTGCATAGCTACTAGCTTAAATTTCTTTAAATACTAAAGTTAAAAACAAGACTAATTATGTGGCATTCTGATTGAGCATTTTTTTATGCATTTAAAAAATTAAATATTCAATTACTTCAAGTGTTTTTATGCAGTTCAAGAGCTTTTTTTTATATTTCATGAAACTACTACATAATCCATATAAAAAAGAACTTAAAGTTTAAACCTTTTTGTGTATATAATAGTATAAAAAATTTGGTTTAAATTATTTTTTAAAAAATGCAAAAATATGCATCAAAGGACTAGACCGAGCTGTCAAGCCCAAATGAAATAAGGAAAAAATTAGTAACAGAGAAAGGATAAAAAAATAAAATAAAAAAGTATTATGAACAGATGTTCAGAGCAAAACAAAGATGTTGAAGTAAAGTATGTATAAAGAAAATAATAATGATTGTATAAATATTGCGCATGTAATAGAAATAATAAACAATATATTTGAGTTATATATTTTTGTATATAATAGTATAAAAATTTTGGTTTAAAATTATTTTTCATACCAAAACTTATATATTCAGAGAATTGTAAAGCAGCTTTTTCTTAACCATCTTGATGCAAACTACAATCCAGTGCAAACAATAGTTTAAAAGATGAAAAAAATGCAACTAATAGTACCAATCTTCTTTTTTTTTGTTTATATCATATAATAAGTATCATAATTCACCTTCAGTTGTTTATATCATATAATAAGTATCATAATTCACCTGAGATAACAGACACTTCAGTTGTTTATATCATATAATAAATATCATAATTCACCTGAGATAACAGACACTTCAGTTGTTTATATCATATAATAAATATCATAATTCACCTGAGATAACAGACACTTCAGTTGTTTATATCATATAATAAATATCATAATTCACCTGAGATAACAGACACTTCAGTTGTTTATATCATATAATAAATATCATAATTCACCTGAGATTCACCAGACACTTCAATTGAATAAGAGCATAAGAGTTATCTTTATCAATTGGGGCAGTTTGAAGAATATTCTTATTATCATGTACAAATTGAATTGATATTGGTTCATTTTGTAGCCATTGTTTGTTATACTCCTCGAAATGAATTTTAGAGCTTTTGCATATATTCCCCCTTTGTCAAAGATGCTTTATGAAATTAGTCTCACTAAAACCCAATTAATAAATAATGATTAGAATAAATACCCATAAAGTTTTTGTTACATAAAATTGGTTACATTAGTTAACTTGTAAAAATCATTATTATCGACCAGGCGGACATTCGTGGATTATAAACCAAAATTATATTAATAATACACATATTAAACAATGAATTTCAAGTCTCAAATTACTGGACCACCTTGGACTGAAAAAGTATTAACTGAAATCATTTTATTTGACATAACTTACTTGCAAAATAGTGTTGCAGCAGCTTATTTAAAAGACAATACTTAATTTTATTAAACAATGCAATAAAATTTTTTAGTTTTTAGTTTTAGGTTTTAAAAATAACAACTATTTTATGCTTATTAGTAACACAAAAAATATAATCCAATTTAAAAAAAAAAAAGTTTTTAATGTTACAGCTTAAAAGCATACGGCATAATAGTTATATAAAAATATATAAATTTTAAAAAAGCTGAATATTTTAGCTATAAAATGGTATGTAATAATGTAATATTTGAGAATGTATTTTTTTTTTTACTTTTGTCCACCACCTGGTCCACTGTGATCTTCTTTAAAGACCAAAACAATTGGGTAAAGCCTGTTTACTGGGTACGCCTGAAAATACCCAATGATACAATTTATAATTTAATAATAAAATAAATTTTATTAATTATGTTGTAACATCAAACTTTAGTAGATATTCTATATTTGGTTTATTTATGAATTTCGCACATATTTATGATTTCAACAAGGTTACAAGTTGTCATTTTCTCATAAATTTTTAATGACCTTGTTTAACTTGATTATTCTTACAAATACATATTTTTACAATCATTGACATACATTTAAAATTTGTAATTTGCAATTAAAATTTTTTATTTTTGCTTTTTAACTTTTGCTGATGATACTTTTTTTTTTTTTTAATATATAAGGTTGTTATTTTTTTGTTTTTAAATTTATTTGTTTTTAAACTTTTTTGTATATTTTTTTTTTTTACAAAGACAACCATTTTAAGTTTACATTTTGTTTTTTTTTTATCTGTTCAATCTTGTATTATTTTGTTTATTTATATTTATGGCATATGCTTATGTTTGGATTTCCAATTTTAATATTGGCAAACATGCTGGCAAACACTAATGTTAGGCAAAAGCAATCATTTTAGTTTAATAGAAAAACATCTCTTTAAAAAAGTAACTTTTTCTTATAAGACCTTAAAAAAATTGTTTAGTGAACAATGCACTGCTTGATTCTAAGAGTTTTAGGTTAAACTTCAAAATACATGAGGTTTTTCTTCAGATTCTATTAATATGAATATGTACGAGCTGGAATGTGTTAAAAATAAAATCGAAAGCGTTCCTTCTTAGGTCAAAATTGGTATTTTCCAAAATCCACGATTAAGTGCTTAAAAAACAATATCATTTTTATTAATTTAACTATCTCTCATTACAAAAATCATAGAAACCCTCATGACCATCAATTATCTTTGTCTTCAAAGTATGGTTAAATTAATATTTAATAATACCTTAAATGATTTGATGACTTTACTGCTTACGTGCTGCTAGAATTACTATTTTTAGGTCTGTTATATACATTAAAGGTTTCAAAGCAAAATAAATTTTATAAAAAACCTTTTTTTTAAATTAAACAATAAGATTATATATATATTATAAAAATTTGAATTTGATTAGTTTAAATTCTCATAGAGCTGTAGGTAGAAGCTACATTTTTAAGCTATAATCCATGGTTTTTGTTAGTCTCTGCGACAGCATAGCGCTTCAATGTTTTGTTAAATTTTTATGTCTACAAGGTGAAAAAAATCTACAAGGTGGTATTTAATAAAATGGAACTTCCGACCAAGTGACAATGTTTTGTTGAACACATCTTTACAATAGTATTCTAAGTATTTAGCAGATTCAATAAACTGCAAGATATCTTTACTGTATGAAGGTTTTAGCATCATGCATAAACAACTTTTTGCAACTGAAAAATTATAATTGTATGATTAGTATATACAACTATATATATATATATATATATGTATATATATATATATATATATATATATATATATATATATATATATATATATATATATATATATATATATATATATATATATATATATATATATATATATGTATGTATCGCTGTGCAGGCAAACGTGCTAGTAATAAACATGAACTTTGGGATTTTATAACTTTAACCGGGCTGGCATAGTGTCAACAAGCTTCTTGCAATCAACTGCTGTTGATTGCAAGAAGCTTGTTGACACTATGCCAGCCCGGTTAGCTGAAGTAATTAAAAATAAAGGTGGACCTACTCATTACTAATATTTATATACTATTTTGGTACTAAAATGTTATAACAATATATTGTGCATGTTTCAGTAATATAATATTTTGCTGCACTGGGTTATGGCTATATTCAGTAATATAATATTTTGCTGCACTGGGTTATGGTTATAATCTGCTAAAAAAAATGGGGTGGCTCTAAACTTATGACCAGGTCTGTATATATATACATATATATATATATATATATATATATATATATATATATATATATATATATATATATATATATATATATATATATATATATATATATATATATATATATATATATATATATATATATATATGAATATATGTATATATATATATATATATATATATATATATATATATATATATATATATATATATATATATATATATATATATATATATATATATATATATATATATATATATATATGAATATATGTATATACATATATATATATATATATATATATATATATATATATATATATATATATATATATATATATATATATATATATATATATATATGTTTAATTTTTACCTTTTCTAAACCTCTGCAGAGTTTTAATGCAGGGGCATTACTGAATTGGTGTTACCGGTATCATTTCATCTTTTTCACAACATTCTCATACATGTGAAGTTCGGAGGAAGGATGGTATCAAGATCTTCCTCAAGCAAACATGGTTTAATATTATTATTGAATAGTTGCATAGTCTTATAAGGATATCCTTCATCTTGGTATCGATTGTAATCTGAACTTAAGAAGGCAAAAGTTCTCAAGTCACCTGATGAGCTTATTGTACCATTACAGTAACAACAAGCATGTTTTCCATCATGACTCTAAAAAAATTATTTTATTATTCTGAGATTTAATGCAATAATTATTATGTAATTTAATATTTAATTGTAAAAAATTTTAAAATTAAACATAATCTCTTACTGTGCGTTTATGAGCTTTAGGTCAGAAACAACAAAAAATTTAAGCTGATTTAGATTAATTAATTTAGGAAGCATTTCAAGATTATGGTTATTTTTATTGACGTTACCTGCCAAAGCCAGAATTATTACCTTGTTCACTCCTGAGTCTTTCTTGTTTCTACTTTACTCCTTATATCTACTTTGTTTAATTAATATTCATTATAATCTGAAAATTAATCACAATTGAATTATGATTATAATTTTATTTCCTTTATTTACATGATATAAAGTAGGTTAAGGTACTAAAACTTTAGTGAACCCTGTTCTCCGTCAATTCCAACTCTAACAATGGCTTTCATAGGATTTAATCCACTTAGAGAGCAAATTTTTTGAACAAGTCTGGTGAGATCTTCAATATATACAACATCTCTCAACACTGAGTTTTCAAGTTCAGTGTTGAGAGATGTTGTCATGTAACACACAGTTACAAAACAAAATGATAAAACTCAAAATACCTATTAATTCTAGATATTAAAGAATTTTTAAAAAGAAATTGTAGTCATTTATGGTCTATATAATGGAAATTAGCAAAAAACATTAATTTTTTGCTAGAAATAGTTTTTTGGGAAGACTGTGTGTTACTGTGCGTGATAAAGATTTTTTTGGCTTTTAATTTATTATTATAAATCTATTCTGTACTCGTTTGAAAAAAAAAATTATATTCTGTGCTCGTTTTTTCCGTAAAAAAAGTCTTTGATATGTCTTTTAGAACAATGTTGTCATGTAACACATAGTTAATGCTCTAAGTTGTTATTGCTAAAAAAAACAGCAGAATATCAAAATTCTCAACGTAAGATAAGATAGGTTAAGCTGGCACGTTTATAGAGACTGCTAGCTTGCAAAATATTCTTTTTTAATACATATATGTATACAAATATTAGTTTTGTGTTTGATTTTTTTTTTTGTATTTTTTTAATATTTTTATACATAATATAAAATGTTTGAGGGCAATTAAGGTTAAAAGCCTTACCCCCATAAAACTAATGTTGTTACAATAAATTGTTAGTCAAATGGATTTCAAAATCATTAACAACATTATTATAAATTAATTATTTTAACTTTAAGGTATTGCACAAGCGTGTCAAATGGATAACCTTATAATTGATTGCAAAGGTAAAGGATACATTAAAGTTGTGGATGTAAACTACGAAAGAACCAATGCTTGTCATGACACTAGTATATCGAAGACAAAATGTTCACAAAAAGATCAATATGATTCTTTGAAAGATGATCGTTATAATAAGTGTTCAGACATGAAATACTGTAATATTTTAGTGCCCAAGTGTGAAAATTACAATAGTGTCAAAGTGCAGTATTATTGTAAATATATATTTTTTTTTTTTTTTTAAACGTTTTTCATTGGGCACACCTTATTAGCTAATGGATTTAGTGTGCCTAACACTGCAGCGTTTCATTTACGTTTAGCAATGTTGACGGTAATGAAACGTTGGCTTTAAGATGTGTTGCCGTCAGTGCTCACAGTTTAATAAATAATAAATTATAAATTTGAGAGATTTTTATAGCAACACGTTTCTGTAAAGATAATTAAATTTTTAGGTGCACCAAAAACAAATTTTGTAAAAATATGCCACGGAAAAGAACTTCAAATTGATTGCAAAAGTCAGCAATTAATTAAAATAGTTAATGCAAACTACAAAAGAACAGATGCCAGTGATTGTCCCAGCTTTTCTGAATGGCCTAGAGAATGTAATCGAAAACGAACGAACTCTATTGAAGTTATTCGTAAAATGTGTTTACATAAGTCTTCTTGTATTGTAAAGGCCTCCAACAAAGTGTTTGGAAATTTGTGTGTAGGAACACACAAATACCTTGAAGTGGAATATTATTGTAAAGAATAATTTTAATTTGATTATAATTTTTGGTTTGAAATACATTATTTTGTATACGGTTACAATAGAATAATTTTATTTAAAAATTAGCTCCTTTAAGAAAAAGCAACTACTCATTCTACAAAGAATAGTTCTAATATAGTTGTTAATTTTACAGAACCCAATTCCTGAGAATTTTATATTTGTTGATAAGTGTGAAAAGATTATTGGTCAAAAATTTCACAAAAAATTTGAGGTTGTAGCGAAGAGTAAATTTTAATTAACAGTTGGGCTGAAAAGTTCGTATCGTTTCTAAGAAATGGCGCCACTAGAATTAAATTCATACCATTTTTAATTAGTACCAACCTTGAAAAGATACGTGTAAAAATTTGACAGCTGTCAGATTATTAGTTTGTGATATATTGCTCTAGTAGTGACGCTACTTTTGTTATTGTGAAAAAAATGGAAAAAAAAGAATTTCGTGTGTTGATGAAACATTACTTTTTAATGAAAAAAAGTGCTGCCGATACCAAAAAATGGCTTGATGAGTGTTATCCAGACTCTGCACCAGGCGAAGCAACAATTCGTAAGTGGTTTGCAAAATTCCGTACTGGTCATATGAGCACCGAAGACGATGAACGCAGTGGACGCCCAAAAGAGGCTGTTACCAATGAAAATGTAAAAAAAATCCACAAAATAATTTTGAATGATCGTAAAGTGAAGTTGTTGGAGATAGCTGACACCTTAAAGATATTGCAAAAAAACGATGAAATTGCAAAAAAACGACCTCATTTGAATAAGAAAAAAGTTCTGTTTCATCAAGACAACGCACCGTGTCACAAGTCAATGAATACGATGCTTAAATTGAACGAATTCGGCTTTGAATTGCTTCCTCATCCACCGTATTCTCCAGATTTAGCCCCCAGTGACTTTTTCTTTTTCTCAGATATCAAGAGAATGCTCGCTGGTAAAAAGTTTAAGAGCAATGAAGAGGTGATCGCTGAAACTGAAACCTATTTCGAAGCAAAGGACAAATCGTACTACAAAAATGGTATCGAAAAGTTGGAAGATCGCTATAATCGCTGTATCGCCTCTGATGGAAACTATGTTGAATAATAAAACCGAATTTTGAAAAAAAAAATTGTTTTTCTATTAAACGATACGAACTTTTCTGCCCAACTGTTAAGTAAAAATTTTAGTTAAGTAAGATAATTGAAAATATCTTAATTATAAAATATTTAAGTATCAAAAATTGAAAATCATATTACCAAAATAACTTTATTTGTCTAAAAAAATAAGTAAAAACCTCAGCTTTTCATCAAGGAAATGTGCTCTTTAGAACTTTAATAGGTGTAACTAGGCTCCTTTTTGATGAATTTCTAAATCATTGCTGCGTCTTTAATAGTTTCATCACATAGAAATAAAAAAATTTTAAAACTTGTTAGTTTTATAGTTTCACAGGCTATTTTAGTTTTACCATGTGAGACTTTTTATAATATTATCAGTGATAGTATTTGAGTTGCAAATAAGATACTGCTCTTACTAAAGTTATAAAATGACATAAAACAACTATATATTGAATTGTCAAGATACTCTTAAATTTTTTCGTTGTCAAACAGTTTACCATCGCATCACATCACAATCGAGTTGCTAAATCGATTACTAAAGAAATGGTATAATGGTACAAACCGTATTCTTTTACCGTATAGAGCTAGACTAATAATAGGTTTTGCGTGCCTAATATTAATATTATCTTTATCAACTTTAAAAATATGAATTAAGTCTTCTCTTGTTCTACGATTCTCCAGTTTTTGAATCATAAACAAGATATATCTGTGTAAGCAATATATATCTATCTGTGTAAGCAAGATATATCTATCTGTGTAAGCAATATATATCTATCTGTGTAAGCAAGATATATCTATCTGTGTAAGCAATATATATCTATCTGTGTAAGCAAGATATATCTATCTGTGTAAGCAAGATATATCTATCTGTGTAAGCAAGATATATCTATCTGTGTAAGCAATATATATCTATCTGTGTAAGCAAGATATATCTATCTGTGTAAGCAAGATATATCTATCTGTGTAAGCAAGATATATCTATCTGTGTATGCAATATATATCTATCTGTGTAAGCAAGATATATCTATCTGTGTAAGCAAGATATATCTATCTGTGTAAGCAAGATATATCTATCTGTGTAAGCAAGATATATCTATCTGTGTAAGCAAGATATATCTATCTTTGTAAGCAAGATATATCTATCTGTGTAAGCAATATATATATATGTTCGGTATTAAAATAGGATAATTTTGTGTGTATACATTTACAGATTTTTCTTTCATCGTAGTTTGTTTTAATTTTTGTTTTTTCGTTTCTCTTTGTATAATATTATAATAATACTTAATAAGAATATTTAATAGCATGGGTTCAAATCACGGATCCTTTGTTTTGGAGGCAAATGCGCTACCGCTGCGCAATATTTTGCCTAAGATAGTATTTTATAAAAAATTATCTATATTTTCAAGTCATTATTAAACTATAAATGAAAATTAAAAAATTGATTTCAAATTTACAAAATTAGGTTTAGGATCACCTTCTCAGAATAAAACTAGTCAATAAAATAAATAGCCATATTATTGTATGTCACAATTATTTTAATACTTAATATATAAAAAAGACCAAAGTTAGCCTAATTTTAAAATAAAAAGTTGAATATAGAAAAAATAAAGGTAGCAAACTAAAATAAAAGAGTAGGAAAAATAAAATTGTAACAGTGTTGTAAAATTATTATTTTACATATTGTAAAAAATTGTAACATTAAAAACAAAACTTAAAAAAAAAAAGAGAATAAATTTATGAGATAACACGTTGTGTTATCTCATAAATTTGATGATTTAATTTTGACATTTTAATGATATGCAATAAAAACATGCTGAGGATGATGAGAGTAGCAATTGCAACCGGGAACCTGAGCTTTTTATACTCTTGAAATTCCGGAAAATAAATACCCTAAAATGCATTAAGATCCTTTTCAAAGTGAAAAAGTCATAATTTCACAATGACAAGGTTCTAACTACTGTTATTTTACTGTTATATTTACCGTTTGTTACTTTTAAATTTTGTAATTAAAGCAGTTAGTCACGTTTAAACTTACGTTTAAATTTACGTTTAAATTTACGTTTAAATTACGTTTAATTCTAGATCAAATTAAACCAGTAACATTTAAGTTTTGTAACTGAAATAATAACATAAACAGTAATTGTCATATTTTTTTTTAAGTATATATAATTTTTTAAGTATAATAATTTCTTTTTTAAGTCTCAAAATTAAAAAGTAGATACAACATAAACATTTTTTTTTTAATCGTTTCTTTAGTTTTCTCCATTATACTGCATTTTATAGGTAAATTTTGAAATCATTTTGTACAACGCTAAAAAACTTTGAAAACATTTGGTACAATCTCTAGAACTGCTGAGTCAAGTGTTAAATAATTTTTTTGATTGTGTCAATGGGAAAAATATTATCGATTGCATGTAAAAAAAAAAATTGATAAGTGATGAAACACTTATATGGTTCATGGTTGACTAAAGTTTTTTTAAAATCAAAGACCAGAAAGTTTCACTAAGGTTGATATATTTTTATCTTGGTAAACATATGAAGTGATCAACATCACTGACAGTTCAGTTGTTGATTAGTTAAATACATTTTAAATATTGGTATCTCATACGTTTTAACTAAACGGCATAAACAAGATTCATTAGAAAACTACTTATGCCAATAGCGCGCCATGTGAAGAAGAATGGATAACCCATCTTTACATGAAATTGGCTATAATGACAATACGATAAGAAACCAATGTACCTTTAAACAAGTAGTAGGAACTATTTGTTACATAATTAAAATATGTTAGTGTATTCTACAAATAGAGTGCTCAATGTTCTTAAAGAACAGAGCAATAATAATTTAGTAAAAACACTTATCTAATTTTTTTACTCTTCAACAGCATGTTTCACCATCAGTAGGTTCATCATAAAAAACTAATTGTTATATAACAAAACTTTCTGATGAACCTACTGATGATAAAACATGCTGTTGAAGAGCAAAAAAATTAGATAAGTGTTTTTACTAAATTATATATATATATATATATATATATATATATATATATATATATATATATATATATATATATATATATATATATATATATATATATATATATATATATATATATATATATATATATATATATATATATATATATATATATATATATATATATATATATATATATATATATATATATGAGATATATATCATGTTTGAGTAAATTTTAGCATAGTAATGTTACAAAAAAAGAACTAAAATGTACCTAAAATACTTTGCTGTGACTAAATAGATCTTGAAATATTGTAGGTACAATAATACGACAAGGAAATTTTCGGGTAACTTGTTACAGAATTCCTAATAATCTAATTAGAATACAAAAATCAATTTTCTCATAAGCTTTTTAAGGGGTATACTCCCCCATTTTTAAATATAGACAATAAATAACAACATTTGACATAAAATGATTATCCATATCATAAATGTAGAAAATTAAAAAAAAAAAAAAAAATTGGTCAACGGTTTCTGCAGTAACCGTAAAAAACCCCCAAAATAAGCAGAAAATAAGATTTGCGCTGGCCAAGTTTTAGCAAAAACTAATAAAAAAGGCTGAACAAAACTTTGGAAACACAATTAGAATAGGTTTATGAGTGTTTTAAACGAAACAGATTTTTTTTAAAAAGTTTTGGGCCTGAAGACTTGTGATCTAAAGTTAACAATAGAAAAAAGTGCATTTTTTGAAAAATTAAATTAGCTGTACTGTTTTGTTCATAAGTATTTCAAAATTCTGTTCCGTTTAAAACACAGCTTTTATAAAAAGGAAAATATGTTGAAAATTTCAGATAAAACGCTTAAGCGGTTCTCTTGGAATTTTGGCCGGCATATTGAAAAACCTCGAACTGAGAAAACGCATAAAAATTGAAAATAAACAATAAAAGGTCTACAAATATACGTAACATTATATATTG